ATAAACTTCAGTAGAAGTAACATAAGCTGCATCTGAGTCATTATCTCTCTCCCCAGTCATGGGGTGTGGATGAGCCCTGTACTTGACCTCAGCATTCTCACCCCCATGCCTCCCATGTGCACCTTGACTAGTATATAAAATTTTGCCATGGCACCCAAAAGCTGTTATTGCATTTGTTAGTTTCATGTCAGTCCCATGCCAATAGACTCTAAGCATAGACCTGTAAAGCAAGTCTTTAATGCATAATCAAGAGTTAATACAACTAATATGAATGTACAAATGATTAAGTAATAGAGGGGCTGGGTGGGTGATTGGACAGATAGACGAACATATCCTGGCTGCCTAGAACATGGGACAAAGTAGTACATGCTGTCTGTCCTTCAAAGTTAAGTTTCACTTTGGCGTCAGAGCAGATGGTTGAAATGGCCTGACTTCTGTCCCTACATTGATCCCTAAATGCCTCTCCCACCACCACCACCATCTCCACCACCGTGGAAAGCCTCTTGTTTATATTCTCTTTAATGTCTCTTCAAGTACTCAAGTTCAACCCCAAGTTCAACCACTGGTCTGGCCCTGATCACTGAGGCTCATCAGTGGACCTCCCCATACTTAGCATTACAAGGGCAGTTGTTCTTTGTTCTGGTTCTTGTGGCCACCATGACTATCCATTTCATCTCCTAGTACAACGAACAGGGAAGCTGAAACCCTCTGGAGGCACTAATGCCTCCCAGATGTTCCCGGGCTGTCTCCTCGCTTTTGTCCTATCTGCCTTAGACTGCAGAGAAATTCCAGTGCAGCTCCTTAAAGCTGAAGGCCTTCTAGTACAGGTCAACAAAGTGTGGCCCATAGGCCAAATCTGGCCTGCTGCCTGAATTTGTAAATAACGTTATTGGAACTTAGCCATGCTCATTCATTTACAGATTGTCCACGACTCTTTTGAATTTCAGCTGGAGAGCTGAGTAATTGTGAAGGAGACCAAATGGCCTAGTATATTCCACAAGGTCTAGTACATGTACTAGTACTATCTACCCTTTTATAGAAAACGTTAACCAAACCCTCCTTTGTAAATTAGCTCAGATGTAGAATTTAGCTGAGTAACTCTCTGTGGTAGAGTCCTTGGCATTAGGTTTGGCGATGAGTGGGCACCAACCACTACAAATTCTGACACCACCAAGAGAAAATGGCTTTGTTAGCATGAACTAATTGCTAGATTTTAGACAATTCTAAAATCTCAAAAGAAAAGAGGAAAGGAGGAAAAGGAGGGAAGGAGGAAATTGGAGGAGAATGAAGCAATAGACCTTTAAAAAAAATTGCTGAGAGTATTATAGATGTCCTCCTTCTCCTCCTCTCCCAATTACTCCCCTCCAACCATTCCTCCTGCACCCCAGGCTTTTGCCACCCTATTATCTGTGTCCATAGGTAATGCATATATATATATGCATATACACACACTAGGGGCCCAGGGCATGAATTTGTATACCTGGAAAGGAACTGTGGTCTCTAAGGCTGCAGTGGGCACAGGGTTGGATCTTGGCCCATCCTCTGCACCTCCACCCAGCCCCTCCCACTGCAGCTCCCGAGTGCTCTGTCTGTTGGCAGCCCTGCTCCTTCCTCTATTGCTCTCCTACGTTCTGAAGGCATTGGCCCCACTTGCACCCACTGGCAGCACAGAGTGATTGGGGCCAGCACCATCAGCAGATGCAAGTGGTGGCTGCTGCCCCAATTGCCCCTCAGGAGCAGGGGGAGGTGGAGAAGTTCTCAGGAGTGATCAGAGCCAGAAGCCACTGCTTGCACATGCTGACAGCACTAAGCCATCAGGGCTGGCACTGGGCATCAGCAGCAGGTCTGAGTAGTGGCTCTAGCACCGGCAGTGGGTGTGAGTGCAAGACAGGACCGCCCCATGAGTAGAGTCCATTATAGTGAAAAAATACAGATGAACTGCACTTGGTTCTCTACTCACCTGAGTGATCATGACCTGGTCTCAGTTTCCTCATCTGTAAAGTGGTTAGAATATTTATCTCTGTACAGTATTTTAGATGAAGGTGCATGAGGCAAAGAGGAGAGGATGTGCATGCTGTGAGACTTGGCAAAGGTCTTCCTAAAGTGTCTTTCCCTGGATGCCCTGACTCTTCCCTTCCCACGCTCCCAGAAAATTTTCTATTTTATGACATTTGATGTCAGAATGACACCAGTCACTACAGATTGGATGCCAGTATGTGTGGGTTAAAAGTGGCAAAGAGTAAGTTGGTGACATGGCAGGCACTAATCACAGCTGGAGCCCGTCACCAGCTGGAACCTCATTGAACTGAATGCCATTCACACAAAGGGGAATCTGGGAAGCCTGCCAGGGTCTTCCCAGAATAGTAATTTTTCATTTACATTTCGCCCATTTCTCCCCCTTAAGGCAGACCTCCTTCTCTATCATTATATTAACTATCTCCTTCTCCCTCTCCTCCCATCCCTGTTGTAGAAGCAACGGGATCCTTCTTGGGCCTTCCCAGAGATATTATTTGTGAACACCCTCCAGACAACATACTGAGCCCTGTGCACCTTCTTTAGCACCAGAGGAGTCACGAGGGCAGAAACAGAGAGTTTTATTTAAGCTGTCAGGGTATCAGCCGGTCCTTAGGTTTAAGAAAGAATGGAGGTGGTTTTATTCAGTATGGCCCTAATGGTTCTGAGACGGGCTGGTTTGTCCAGACCCAGTGATAGAATAGACCTTGCAGGAAAGCAAAGGTCATTAAAGCTTGCTGTGATTGATCAGAGTGGAGTGAATACTTAGATATTTTCTAATCCCTGTAGTTGGTGGTCTGTGTATAAAATGTTCAATGTTTGAATTTCACCTGAAATTTAATAGTCTACATTACAATTTCAGTTAAAAACAACCTAAATTACAATTTCAGTTAAAAACAAAATATAATTAAGACTTTAACAGTCAAGTATGAGAATTCATCCTTGCTCAAAGTAACATAAACTATGATGTGTAATCCTGGAGATTTGCCAACAATCTCAGAGATGTGTTTCTGGTATTAATTCATTCAGCAAACATACTTCAGGTGTCTATTATGAATCATAACTATATAAAAAAATTTTGTGTAAAGCTTTAAAGTTGCTAGAGTACTTTACCTTGACTCTTAGAAACATTTTATAAACGAGAAATTACTACAATCCTTATTTTTGCAGTTAAAGGAACAAATTCTCAAGAACAAAAGTCACTTGTTCAAAGTCACAAGTATTGACAGTGATAGAGCTGTGAACGGAATTCATGTCTTTTGACCCCAAATCCCTGGCTTCATGCCTATATTCTCTTCCCCTCCACGTTAGCTAAATTTTCTAGAATTGCATCATAGTTCTAGATACTCCAGTCTTTCCCAATTCTGATATTTATTGTTTTCTCAAGTCTCATTTACTTACACAAAGATATCAGTTCAGATCTTCAGGAGTCTTGCCCCTAAAGTTGCCTCCAGCATTCAACTCTTAAATCAGGGGTCATCAAATACTTTCTGTGAAAGGCCAGATAGAAAATTCTTTAGGCTTTGTGGGCCATATGGCTTCTGTTAGAACTACTCAGCTCTGCCACTGTATTGGGAAAGCAGCTATAGACAACCAGATAAACAACTGTATGGCTGTGTTCCAATAAAAATTTACTTAAAAAAAAAACAACTGGCAACAGACCAGATTTAGTCCTAGGGCCATTGTCTGCTGACCCTTACATTTAATGCATTGTTTCCCAATAACCTTTCAACTAGTAAATATCCTCAAAATTGGGATTTTTATTAACTGTTGAGTCCCCTAGTCATTCATAAAAAAATGCTGACATTTGCCCTGGCCAGTGTGCCTCAGGTGGTTGGGTATTGTCTAAAAGTTACCGGTTTGATTCCCAGCAGGGGTGTGTGGGAGGCAGCAGATCAATGCTTTACTCTCACTTCAGTGTTTTTCTCTATCTCTCCATCTCCCTTCCTCTCTCTCTCTCTCTCTCTGAAAAAAAAAATTAGTAAAAAATACATTTTTTTTAATGCTGAGATTCTCTACCCTTCAGGTCACACACAGAAAAAACATGCTCATTAGAGAGTAACCAAAGTTGCATTACAAGGGTCCAACAATGACAAGATAAGCAACTACCAACACTCAAGCACAGCAAAGTCTCAGCTCATCCATGGAACCACCTAGAAAAAAGGACCTCATGAGTGCATTTTGAGGTTGAGTAAGTCTAGGAAGCCAGGAAGGAAATTATCATTTTTAAATGCCTTTTATGAGCCCCCACTGTGCAAGACATTTTATGTATTTCATAATTCTCAAAACCATGATTTTACACCTTTTGTAGATGGCAACATTGAGCCTTGGGTTACTGAGCATCTTGGCCAAGTTCAAACAACCAGCATGTGGTGAATTCAGACTCACTCATGTCTGATGCCAACATGCACATTTTTTGAGTTACCATGGGGCCCACTTAGGAATGAGCTAGCATCCCTCATTGACAGGGATGTGAGCTCATATGCATGCCCAACCCTGAGCACAAAAAAGATACCACAGACAAATTTACTATTAAGATAACATTGATTTTTTTCTGTATTTTTTATTGAATTTATTGGTGTGACAAGGGTTAATAAATGATATAGATTTCAGGAGTACAACTCTATAGTACATCATCTATATATTGTATTGTGTGTTCACCATCCCATCCCAGGTCTAGTTTTCTTCTATCTCCATTTATCCTCCATCCCCTCTTCTATAATAACATCATAAATAATATCATTGAAATTGGTGACCATTTTTCATTGTCTACTGGTAACAAAAGATAGAGCAGAGTATTGAAACTCTCAAGAATCATTAATTCTGAGCCCTTGTTCCTTCTGTTTTTGACCAGCTCAATTAAAAAGGCTTTATTGTAATTGATGAGGGTAAAACATATTATTGGCCTGTGTGATTCACGAGCCAGTAAGACCAGTGTTATGAAACTATGAGTCAGCTGTAGCCTAAGTCAGAAGCCAAAGTAAGTTTCAGGGCAACCAAGATAGTCCCCAGAGCTCATAGACAACAGTGATGCATTGTTTTATGTCATAGGGTGAGGATGCAGAGGAGATATTTGTGCTCAGTAACATATCTCTATAGCACAGCAGCTCTATTTTTTTATAGAACCTGGAAAACATGGAGTTCAGAGGGTAGAAGATGAAACAGTTACTTCTGATAATTTTCCAGAGTTGTATTTCTTTTTTTTTATAGTGGTGTAGGAACCTTTTTTTTTTATAGTGGTGTAGGAACCTTGATTTGAATAAATTTTTAATCTGAAGATTACTTTTTATTCCTATATCCATCGAAAGACAGTAAACCGGTTCTTTGGGGGTATAATCCAAGTTCAGGACATTAACAAAATGTACCGCAAGTTTGACATGCTTGGTTTAGAACTTTTGGAAGCATCAATCATTTAATACCACACTATTATTTCTCAAATTCCATTCTCTGAACAGGTGCTACCTGAGAGAAGGCTAGGGTGATCTATGGAGAGGAGGTGAAAGGAAAGCGTATAGAAAGTTATCAGTGACCAACTATTGTAGGAAGCTGTATCAATGATCTATTTTTTATGTTTTATTGATTTTTTTACAGAGAGGAAGAGAGAGGGATAGAAAGTTAGAAACATCGATGAGAGAGAATCATTGACCAGCTGCCTCTTGCACACCCCCCACTGGAGATGTGCCCGCAACCAATGTACATGCCCTTGACCGGAATCGAACCTCGGACCTTTCAGTCCACAGACCGACGCTCTATCCACTGAGCCAAACCGGTTTCAGCTCAATGATCTATTTACAACAAACTACTTCAATGATTAGCAACTTCGGATCACGGGCACCTATTGCCTCACAGTTTTGGGGGTCAGGAATCTGGTCACTGCTTAGCAGGATGCCATTGGCCCTGGGTGTTCACGAAGTGGCAGTGTGGGGTTAGTGACAGCTACAGTGATCTCAAGGCTCAGTGAGGCTGGAGACTTTCTTTCCGAGCTCCCATGCATGGCTGTTGGCAGTCTCAGAAGGTCCCCTTCCAAGTGTACACATGTGGTTGTTTGTAGGTCTCAGATCCCACCCAGTTGGTTTCACCAGAGGCTTCCTGAGCATATTCCTGACATGGCAGCTGGAGGTCCTAGAGCGAGAGAGAAACAGATAGTCCCAGACAGAAAGCATGGCCTTTCTATAAATTGAACTCTCAATTGACACCTCATCACCCTGCCACATTCTATTTGCTAAAATCACAGTGCCAAACCAGGAGGTCAGGGTTCGATTCCCAGTCGGGGCACATGCCCAGGTGGCAGGCTCGATCCCCAATGTGGGGTGTGTAGGAGGCAGCCGATCACTGATTCTCATCATTGGTGTTTCTCTCCATTCCTCTCTGAAATCTTTGATTTAAATATATATATATATTTAAATCAAAGTTCAGCCTACACTCAAAGGGAAAGGATTACACAAGGGTAGGCATCACACAAGGTGGGACTCAATGGACCATTTTATTTTATTTTATTTTAAAATATGTTTTTATTGATTTCAGAGAGTAAGGAAGAGGGAGAAAGAGATAGAAACATCCATGATGAGAGAGAATCATGGATCGGCTGCCTCCTGCAAGTCCCCCACTGGGGATTGAGCCCACAACCTGGGCATGTGCCCTTGACCGGAATTGAACCTGGGACTTTTCAGTTCCCAGGCCAACACTTAAGCCGCTGATTTGGCCAGGGCTCAGTGGACCATTTTAGAAACTGTTTAACTAAGCACTTCTGTGCGAAGCAAAGTTAGCAGGTTTCTTCAGCACAAAACTTCAGAGCTTTTAGTACACGTATGTGTTTCAGACCTTTCTGAGCAGGGGTCAGGAAACTGTCTTAGAGAGCCAGATATAGTAACTATTTCGGTCTGTGGATCTGAGGGTTTCTGTACCAATTATTCCAATTTTGCTCAAAAGCAGCCACAGACCATACATATAAATTTGGTGTGGCTCTGTTGCAATAAAACTTTATTTACAACAATTATTTTTTTTCCAACCCATTGGATTATATGCTGAAACGTTAGCTGAAAGCATTTAATAATAACAACTTTTTGCCCTGAAATCCCTATCCCACAGAATAGTGAAATGTTGCCATACATGTCTCTGTGATTTGGTCAATAAAAGCAACAAGTGTCAGCAACCAGAAAAAAATGCTTTAAGTACACTTGCTAAAATATCATCATTTTCTTCCTTGTTTAGATTCATAGAACTCACTAGGGGCTCAGGATTCCTGGAACTCTAAGGTCATTAATTGTTTGAAGGCAGAATCTTCATCTGTCCTATGCATCTTCCAGCACATTTCCCATGCCTAGCACAAGGTCAGAGACACAATGGGCGCACAGTCTTTTTGAATGAATGGATGATTGAATAAATCCCAACATCCTATATTTGTATTTCCCTTTGCCTTTTCCATTAGCAATGCTGTACTTCCCCAAAGGGCCACATTCTGATAAATCAAGTGTCCTGACCTGTAGCTGACATCTTTCCCATGGCATCTCCCTTCTTCCTGGCTGCAGTCCCACCTGAGTCTGCAACTCAGAATCATTGCACTGATGGCCCCAGATAGACTCGGCGTGTCTCTGCTCACACTTGGCTGTAGCTTCAAGAGCTGAAGACTGGAAGGTAGGCTGGCAGGAAGGAGGGAGAGAGATAAGAACATTTCACAAGCCTACAGAAGGTCATGACTGAGCAAGGCCATTCTACACACAGTATGTCACAGCTTTACAATGGGTCTTACTAACTCCACTTTGCAAATGAGGAAAGAGTTGTAGAGAGGTTCTCTCTCACCCAAAGTGACACAGAGGTGAAGGAGAAGCCTGGGCTAGACTGGTAGAGACTCTAAAGCTTATTCCCTAAACCTCACATCTCAGGTTGCCTGGGCTATTCTCTTGGAACAGTTATTAAAATCACCTTTTGTTCTCTCAGAAGTGTCTGTTTTAGAAAGTACATTATCTAGTCACCTGCCCACCACCCTTTGTCTCCCCGGGGACAGTTCTGGCTTCCGCCATGGATACAAGTTCAGTCAGAGGCCATGATTAGGATTTTACCCCAGATCCAGGGGCATTCCTGGAGACCACTAATTAATTGCCCAAATCAGTCTGCGGAGCTCTTGCCAGGCCACTAGGGTACCTACTGTGGGAAGTGGGATAGAAGGGTCATGTAGCGTGAATGCCATTAAAAAGACCCATGCACAGGTGCATGCAAGCAGAGACAGGCACACACACATGCATTTATTTTTAAGCCACCTTCCACAGTACTTGGCTCCCATTTGTCTCATGGAAAGAATTTTGAATGCAGTCATTTCTCTAGTTGGAATCTTGTATTTAAAAAAAAAAAAGTCTCTGCATTTCCTAGAGTCCTCATCACTCCTTCTGCTGTGAGCTAATTCTGTCTGCTTGAAAATTCACCTAACAGACAGCTCTCATTTGGATGTGGCTTAGGAAGGCTTCCTGGGCATTAAGTGTACACTTACTTGCTACATTCATCTTAGTACATTGTTGCCAATTCTTTTATGTTGAGCTCTTTCTATCCAATATGACAGCTTATCATCTTCCCCTCTCCTCTAGCCAGGATGCCCATGTTCATATGGTATTTCAGAGTTTTCTCATAGATCCCATGCATTGTTGTATTGGATCTTTACAATAACCCTGTGATGCTGCCCAGTGAAGCCACATTTTATAAATGAGAAAATAGATTCAGGAAGGTGAAGCAACTCACCTGAAGTCACACAGCAAGTAAGAGCTGACAAAGTTGAGACAACCTGCAGGAAGAGATGACATATGGTTCATTTCCATATCCTGCAGAATCGCTTACAGCATGCACATAAGACATCAGTGTTTAATGGCTGGCTGAATTAACAAACAATAGGTTTTACCCTCCCTCAATGATTATGGTCACTTCCTAGGTGGCATAGGATTTGAAATCTCGTTCAATGAGAAGTGACAGAAGGATATGTTTAGATTTAGAGTAAATATGCAGTTGGGGGGCTCTGAGAGCTTCCCTGTGGAAGAGGATTGGATTCAGGCTCTGCGTCGGAGAGGATACATCTGGAATTGTCGCATGAAAGTCATAAAGACGCAGGGCCATTATAAGGACTCACATTCTAGCTAATAGAATTGTCTAGACTTTAGAAGAATCTCATGAGAAAGTGAGGTTCCCCTCCCAGGGGACATACTTTAACAGGAGTTTGACACATCATTGGCTAGAATGCAGTGAAGGCAAGTCAGGCATCACATGTGGCAGTTAAAGTGGCTGATCATTATTCCAGCCTCCTTTGAGGATGAGTCGAAGGTTTTCTCTGTAGATGCATTTTGATATCTGTATTTCATTAGATTGTTTCCCTAATGTGCCTTCAGGCTATTTGAACTGGAACATTGCTGAGCATTCTGCAATACTGACACAACTGTCCATGAATGCGACATCTTTGTTCTGTCTCCCAGCAACCATTCTTGTTTTGATGTCAAAGCATGTGAGCCTTAACCACGCATATAGTAACAACAGGTGTGAACCATTTAAAGATGGCTGCATCATAGCACCAAATAGAATGACGTTGATGACACTGGGACAGGCTGCTTGGAGACCACTCATTGCAAGAGGGCTTACCCCCTTCCCCAGGTCTCAGTCAAAGGATCAGGTACTCAGAAAACAGTTCTAAGACACTGTTCCAATCCCAGGACCATGGAGAAAAAGAATTCCAGTTAACCAGTATATCTTTGTTCAGGTTAACCCAGACACCAAAACCATTTCATTGACTGCTGAAGACCACTGGCCAGTGAGCAATGGGAGCAAATGGGGTTTATAGGCTTTTTGCTCTCACTGGACGCAAGGGGAAATACTGGTGACTCATGGTTTTTTAATGAAGGGATTTAAAGTGCCAACCATGTGATATCTGACATACAAAAATGCAACTGGGTAAACCTCAAAGGAATTTAGAAATTACTAAAACCAGGTCCTTAATTTTACAGATGAAGAAACTGAGGCACAGACAGGGTAATTGGCTAATCTAAAGGGTTTTCATTGAAATTTGAACTCTTGATTCTTACATTCTCCAGCCTCCCAATCCTCTGGTAAAAGTGGAAGGTACAAGTGCGTACCTAAGTCAGAACCCAAGAACCACATTGCTATGGCAGTGGAGAGCACCCCGAAACATAGGTGGTGGGAGGACACTGGCATGTCCCAGGGTTGGGTACAGTTGTAATTATCCATTCAACTTTGTCACATTGAAGAAAGAAATTCATTTACCCCTGAATACCTAGGGCTCCAATCAGGCCTCCTAAGAGCCCCACCTGGA